GTTTGCATAACACTTACACAATTTCTTTATTTACCATCCCCCATTGAGTCATGAAGATGCAACGGAAGATCCCAATGGTACAAAGTTATAAAAGGCGTAATACCTGCTAAAAAATGTGTTTAGCATGTATAGTTGTGCAACTAGAAGAAACCAAGTGGCTTCATACCCTTTTCAAGAAGAGCATCAATTACGTTGTTAGAAAGTGATCCCTTCCCGTGACTTTGGTTCCTAAACCATCTACAGCATAGAGAAAAGAGAAAAAATATCTATTTCACTGTCACTGGGAATCAATAATCAAAATGAATTCATAAAACTAGAACAACATATTGACTTGATCAAATTCTTAATGAGCATTGCTCAATTATGTCTTATAGGAGTTGCTAATATTAAAATCAACTAAATAATGTAGAGTACCAGCTTGTTTAGTATTTTCTATATCCTGGTTCCAGAATAGTATACGAGTAAAATTTATCACATAATAAAGGCAGTTCAACCGTCTTAATTAACCGCTTGAACTAAAAACTAAACTATAAGGTAATGGACTAACATAATATTTATAACTTTTCACTACATTTGCACGTGGAAAAAACACAACAAAAACAAATACCAACATAACCACAATGACAACCATTATTGTTAAATTAATAGACAAGAGAAACTTGAACAAAAGATCACTTCATTAACCGTTTAGATACCATATTAAGCAACACCCGATCCAAAAGTTTGATCTATTAGGTAAGGCCAACAACAGTATTAAGAACAAACTACAATCCAGTCTAGAGATAACCTGACAAGGAGCAGGGTGAAAAAGATAGTTCAGTGGATGCAGGCTTTTTCGCTGAGTGGTAGTTGAGAGTTTTCCACAACTAGCTATGTACAACACAGAAATTTTAAAATATACTCTCTAGTAGAAAAACATACCAGGGAAGATACGAGCCAATGATAAGAAAACCTATAAAACAAATCCCAACTTTGCTATGAGGTCGATATCTTCCTATTACTAATTAAATTTAGGAAGCTAAAATCTGACAGTTGAAAACAAGTTATATAAAAGTAATCATTTATAATATCAAAATTGACACTCTCCATGAACTAATGATGCTGGCAAAAAATAACTAAACATATGAAACTAAAAATGGCACTCTTATGAACTGATTGCAATTGTTCAACTAAAATTTTCAACTTCAGAAGTCTCCAAGTAAAAGTTTAGAATCAGAGAACATTTGAGAGTTTCAGTTCACCATGGATAGGTCTGTACTATACTCAAGGGACAACATAATAGGCATCATGCATAAACATAACATGAAGTACATATAAGATCCCTATACCAGGAATGGAAGACAATTAATGGATAAGGCCAGAAAATCGCTTCTCCCGTGCCTCCCCTCCCCAACCTGAAAATCCCGCAACAGAGGCAATGAAAAGGTTTGAGTAACTGGACCTTGTATCGATGATAATGATCCACTGCAACGTCACCATTGCTTTTGTCAATAATTTTTCCTAGGGAAATGAAAAAGAAAGCAAACTAAGTTGATACCAAGATCACTGTCAAATTAACCACATTGATTGAAGCAAGATGGATTAAATCTACAAACAACTTCTGAATATTCAAAAGATTTTTTTTTTTTTTAAGAAAAAGAAGTGCAAACCCTCAGTATGTGAGAAAGCATCCCATATACTAGCACCCCTACCACCCTCCTTGCAGGCTCCTTCAATCTATAATAATCAAAAGAAAGACAAATTCAAAATTTGAGAGTTTCACATTCTTCTAACCATATTGCCAAAAACAATACGACACAAGTAACTCCTAATTACGATCACATTTCTCACAACTTCATGCAGTTCTGCCGGATTAATAAACGTTAAGACAATTCTAGTAGCTTCTGTCACACAGTACTTTGTATTACAAAGTGCTTCTTTTTTCTCATTACATCAAACCTCAATGAACATGTAAGAAAACAACAGGAGATTACAAATGTCATATCCCGTTTCCACATTTCTTTTTTCTTCGGTTACATTCACAGGAAGATAACATCAATAATCTCAAAGAATCCATTGGGACACCCAACACCACAACAATGTCATTCAATAAATCAAGCAGAAAATTTTGGCACCAAAAGAAATATAACATGAATCCATATCCTTTGATTACACCACAACATAAATTCAAATAAGATTTTGAGACATACCCTGATCACAATTTGCAAAAAAATAAAACATTGATGACCATTTGAGTAGATAGAAAATACCCAATGAGAATTGGGCTCATATATGTATGCATGCATGGACAAAAGTTCAATAAAATAAAAAAAAAAAAAAAAAAAAAGCACAAACCCAGATGAGAATTTTGCAAGCAATGTGCAGAAAAAAAAAAAAAAAAAACCTGATAAGCAGAAGTGGCAACCCAAAGATAAAGTCGGGAGGGAAGTCAGAGCGAGAGACTTGTTTGTTGTTAGATTCCTGATGCTCATTGCTTTAAGAACTCATCTTTCTTCACCATTTTTGCAAGAGAAAGAAAGGGAAAGTAATAAGACTCAGTTACATCATTCATTCAATGTTAAGATTATATATACTACTTGATAGTTGCAAGGCATTGATAATGCCATGATGGTAGTTAAAGCACATGACTGGGGGAGGCAAAAACTGAATCAAGACGAATCTCTTTAGATATTGTGTCCAAAAGCAAACAATTTTTTCTTTGTGTTGTATATATATATATATTTTTTTTTTTTTATTTGCTTGTTAAATTTTGTAGTGTGCCAATAAATTTTTTTCTTAAATTTGCACCCAATTAATCAATAATATAACGATCACATAATATTATACACGTATGTGATCAAATCAATGCATATCATAGTGTTAATGGAATTAATCTACATCAATACTTTTCTCATAATAAATTATTACAACCAATCAATTATAGGCGAGACAACAACTTCTATAATATTGTTATAATTTGATATTATTTATAGACACTCTTATGACTATTATTTCCTATAGTTACTAAAAGATTTAATTATTAATCTTCAAAATTGGTTTAATTGTGACATAGAAAACTCATTTTCAGAGCAATGATACAGAACAATTTGCCTTTATTAAAACAAGAATTAGGTAAGACAAGTCCATCATGGGGTATTATGTTTTAAGAGAAGAGATCTATGACAATGTTTAGAGGCCACCCTTTGGGATTATGAGCTTTTATAATTACAATTCTACCATTCTTTATTCTCCCATTCCATAAAAGCCATTAAAAAGTTGGGGAAATTGAGAAGATGTGAGATTAAAATAATAAAATTGATAAATAACCTGAAAGCAAAGTGATTGCCATGTGTCCTCATGAAAGATTCCATTGAAATGTGAGAAAGGGAAGTTTATTGATGCCAAGTGTCTATTTCTCAAATTTCCCTTTTAATTAAAGTTATCCATCTACCACTAAGAATTAAATATTGTCCATCAATTACATGGTTCAAGTTTGAGCCATGTGAAATCATGTGGATTGGGAATTGTCACCTACCAACTCAAATCACTTCAAAACAGGGAAAAATTACAGGACTGTGTGATGTAATGCATGGTGGAAATGAGTGTAGAGATCACAAGATCTTTCTCAAACTTTTATCATCAAATAAGACTTTTTTGTTAGTAAAAGGTGGAGATGACAAATAAGTTGAATTTAGAATATGCATTATAGAAAATGTAATGTTGTATTTTTTAGAATGACGATTGAAGTTATTAATGGTCTTTGTTGAAAAGTAATATTTATTGACATGCGAATATGGAATAAAAATATGTGATAATATGATATTATTCTCGTATTTTTTTCTCTTATTACAAAGATTGCATAATTATTATAATATTTTTATTCTTACATAGTTATCACACTTTTGTATAAATAAATTGCATATTCACGTACAATAAACAATAACTTTATATAATACAGTTCAAATTCTCTTTAGGCAGTCTCTATTTCCTCTCCTTGCTGCTCTTGCCTACTCACAATCTGACAGTATCATCTTAATAGTGTAATACAACCATGCATTAGTATAAATGTTTGAAAAACACCTTTAGAGGAACGAGCATATATGTCATATCTAATTGGGCTGACATATACACTTCGCTCTCACGAAATCTTTCTCAAACTTTGGCAAACAAATTCTACTTTTTTGTTAGTGAAAGGTAGATATGTCAGATAGCCCCAATCTAGCCATAAAGCCTTTGGACCTGTGAAAATTAGTTTGTTACATTCACAAATTAAGCTTATTACGAGACTTTCTTCTTTGCCCGTGAAAGGTAGACGTGAATTACCTCTGGGTAGCCAGGTATATTACTCAAGAGGTTTTGAGTTCGTCCTTCTTCAGTTGTTAATAGGGATAACCATTGGAACTCTTACTCGGTTGCTAGTTCTAAGGTCCCAAAGAATTAGTTGAGGTACACATAAACTGTCTGAACAACCCCAAAAAAAGAAGATCTAGTCTAAAACCTTAGGTTGAGAATCTTGTGACCTCATGAATAAAATTGATAACAGCTTGTGACCCTATAAACCTTAGGTTGTTATACTCACAATTCCCCCAAGCCTGCCGGGCCATTTCAGGTTGGGTTTTATGGGCAAATTGGGCTATCGAATATATATGAGCTCAACTCAACCAGCTTGTTCTGACCCAAAAAATTGTCCTCTGCCAGTCTGTCCAATATGTCCATATTCAGGCCATGAACCTTCTTAACTTTGTCATAGTTTTGGAGATGGGAATTCATTTCTTGGCTCACTTTGAAAATCTGTTTCTCTAGCTGAACGCATCATCAATCATTCGGTGTTCAAGTTGTAACTCACTTTAACTCTCTTTCTTTATTCATAAATCCCTTGGAAGCTCTCTCTTCATGGACTCAGAAACTAGAAGCAAGGATCTATCTTGGCTAAGCTAAGCATCTTTTAACCTCAATAAAAACCTTATCAGTTTTTACCATATGGTTGGTTTCTTAGAATTAAACCTTAAATAAAAAAATTGATAGTTATTTACAATGGATAAGATCATTTGGTTGAGTTGGATAATGACACTGGCACACTGATACAGTGAAGTGTAGAAGCAGAAGCAGAAGCCATGGCTTCATTGGCTTTCACAAGTTTCATGATTCATCCACTACCACTACCACTAAACTTTAAAACTAACACTAACACTAACAACGGCTTCTACTGCTTCCCTTCTTGTAGACGTGCTTCGTCTTTAGAAAAGTTCAATTTTTTTTCACTTTCCCCCCTGCAAAAACCCTCCACCTCTGCCACTGCTTCAAGTGACCAACATAGCCAACAACATGAAGATGAAGAAGAAGATGAAAGCTTTCAGGTGCTTACAGCCATTAGAAGCAAATACAATGACATTGTAATTGTAGACACTTCCACCTCCAGAATGTTGCTTCTTGATCACACTAGTAATCCCTTCAACCTTTCTTTCTTTAACTTTTTACTCACTTGATTTTCAAAATTGAATCTTTATTAATGTTACAGATAATGTACATAGCATTTTCAACAAGGGTCTTCAGAAATGGACTGATTCTTACTGGGTATGAACTCAAGTCAATCTTGTAATTTTTTTATTTTTTATTTTTCCATTTTTTATGATCTGAAAATGTATACTGAGTGTTAATTCTTGGTTATTTGCTTTTATAGGATGAGTTTTCTAGTCTGCCAGCCATTGTTCCAAAGGGTCCTATTGCAATCTATGGCTTGGTACATTCTTTACTTGATTTTGGTATTTTATGTTAGTCTAAAGTAATGATTTTTATGAGGTGAATTTGCTAATTTGTCGAGTTTCTGATTCTTTCAGGGGGGTGGAACAGCTGCACATCTGATGCTTGACTTGTGGCCTTCCTTGCAGCTTGAAGGTTGGGAGATTGATGAAATTGTATGGGAAATTAACTATCTCTTTCTGCTAGATTAATGTGTCAAATTTTGATTCAATTACATTGGTAGTGTTGCTTTTGATCATTTTTGTTTATTGAATGTGGAATGTTGGACTGTCACTCACTCATTGATTTCATGGTTATTTTCATTGTTGTGTCGAGGATCAAGGTGGTTTCTCCTTTAGGGCTGGGAGATTGATGAAATTGTATGGGAAATTAACTATCTCTTTCTGCTAGATTAATGTGTCAAATTTTGATTCAATTACATTGGTAGTGTTGCTTTTGATCATTTTTGTTTATTGAATGTGGAATGTTGGACTGTCACTCACTCATTGATTTCATGGTTATTTTCATTGTTGTGTCGAGGATCAAGGTGGTTTCTCCTTTAGGGCTGGGAGATTGATGAAATTGTATGGGAAATTAACTATCTCTTTCTGCTAGATTAATGTGTCAAATTTTGATTCAATTACATTGGTAGTGTTGCTTTTGATCATTTTTGTTTATTGAATGTGGAATGTTGGACTGTCACTCACTCATTGATTTCATGGTTATTTTCATTGTTGTGTCGAGGATCAAGGTGGTTTCTCCTTTAGGGCTGGAGGCCAGATGTATATTTTGAACTTCTGAATACTCGGTGCACAAGTTTTGAAAAATATGGTTCCAGTAACTGAGCATAACTAGAATTTGTTTATACACTGAAAGTTTTATGAAAGATATAATTGGTAATCATAATATGCATGTGTTATAAGGCATCTGGGATTATATATTGGGGTCAGTTATCGGAAATTAATCTGAATGGTTGATGAATCATATGTAGTTATATTAATGATGAATCTGCAGTTCTAGTTCATTTCCCTATTAACTGGAATTTGCTATGTTTGGCAATCTAGTTAATTGACAAAGCAAGAGATTATTTTGGGTTATCTGATCTGGAGAAGCCTACTGAAGCTGGTGGGGTACTTCATGTTTGTATTGGTGATGTGTTTTCTCCCTCAGAAACTGTTCCGGGAGGATATGCTGGTGAGATTTCCATTGAAATCTGTAACGTAAAGATCAGAATTTTTCTAGCTTTCTTATTTTTTACTTTGTTTTTCCTGCTGTGCTATCTATTTTTCTGTCTTCCTATGTGATTGTCTGTATCTGAGATATCCTGGCAATTTTAAAAAATCAGGAAGGAAGACTTCCTCCATTTTACGCCTTGTGAAAGCTATTGTGCTATGTGTCTGTTTTCCTGTGCATTATGTTGCCTATTCTCCTTGGAGTGAGAGGGATGAAGAAATGAGATCAACCAACCAGGTGCCATATTGGAATTATTTTAGTGATTAGTCTCACTTCAGCTTTCAGGCCCATCTTTAGCCACACGTTGAGCTAAACATCATTGTTTCTGCCATGCCCTTTTGGCCTTCTTCAATTTTTATGCAGTTTCGCTTCTTTGGAAAAGCTTATTGCCGTGCGATTTCATTTATTTATTTTTGAATTTTTTGGAGCCATACCAGCTTGTTCGCTAATATGTGTTAGCGATAAACTTTCAGGCATTATCATAGACTTGTTTTCAGAAGGAAAGGTTCTGGAGCAGTTACAAGAGGTATGTTTCTTTCTCCATTACATGAAAATAATAATTCCATAGGCTCTTACTCCTTGTCATGTTCATCAATTATTCATGATTTTGTTAGTAACTTAAGACAATATAGAGTGGCATTGTCATCAACTAAATAATGCGTTGACTACTTCTGATGACTCGTGAATCCTTTTCCACACTCAGTTGGGTTTCTTACTACATGTTGAAGGGCATGTATTGCCTTTCTTATATAAAGTTTATACTTGTATTAGGAATTAATTTTATGAGCAAAAAGCTGAATTCCACCTTTTTATTTAAGATGGTGCATGAAAGAGATTTCAGTTTCATAAAAAATAAAACATGCATGTGTGTAATGTATGTATATATGGTTAAATAGAATCTTAGATTTGTAGATGCAGTGTTTGACAGAAAAGGTAACTAAAGAAACAATTACACTCATTATACTAAGGAGTGAAAGCTTTGTACCGTATAGTTCTCCTAGTTTACCTTATTGGATGAGATTGCTGAGAAAAGATGCTTGAAAAGAGTTTGAGTTTCCGGCATTTGCTTGCTTTGAAAAAGTTAGCCTTTGGTAATCCATTTATTTCCTATTCATCCTTAGATATTAAGTTTTGATGGTATTGGGACTTACAAGTTGCATTTTGTTTCATGACTGGATTTGACAGCCCGCGACTTGGTTGAAATTGAAAGAAAGACTAATGCCCGATGGTCGCTTCATGGTCAACTGTGGTGGCATTGGTGAAGCATCTGAAACAAGCCAGCCAGAATCTGAGGATGACACATGGTTGCAAAATTCTACTATCAAGGCACTATCGGAATCATTTCCAGGCGAAGTATGGTTTCGATGATTTATTCCTCCAAAGAAAAATTAACAGTGTTTATAATCTCACTCTAGATCCTGATAGAGTTGATATTACATGTAGTTTTAAGCCTGCATATAGATTACCATGATACCAAGTAGTACTGCATATTGGCTCTTTTAATACAGTTTCTCAAAACTATGCCTAAATTTATCAAACATAATGTTTTCATGATACAAAAGACGATGTCATGGAAACATAAAAACATAATGGTTACGCTAATGATAATAGGACACCAATGTTCGAAATCCAAGTATAAGTTAGGTATATCCAGTCATCAGTTAATAGGAATGCACTTGACTAGCTGAATCCAATTATTGTATTTCATATAAATGGAGTTATAATATATTTTGTGCAACGGTATGAATGTTATTGATGGAAATAAAAATACATTCATAATTGTTGTACCCTACTAGAAACAAAATTACTTCTGTTCCAACTTTTTAACTTCTCAAATTTTTCATCTGATTATTCAAATCTGAAAGGGATCTCTGAAATTTTCAGAACTTTTGAGGTTATTGCAACAGTTTGTTGTACCCACCCTCCTGCTTGCACATGGTTGCAATGTCAAATTAATATGAGGATTGTGATTATTTCATTTTACTTCTGGATAAACCATCTGTCGACATGAATTCATGGTGATGTCATGGCACACTAGATTTGCTTTAAGTCCATAAGTTATTGGTTATCATAAGTAGTTTTCTCATGCATTTGTCTGATATCTCTTATCTTTCTGCATGTGCTGAACTGTTAATTTTTTGGGGTAAGATTTGATTGAAGGAAGCTGAAAGTTTGTTTTGATTGATACCAGGTATGCTGGAAGAGAATGCCAAAAAGAAACGGTGAAAACTTTCTTGCACTGACAGGACCTATACCAGATTTGAGTTTGTGGTCTGACAATGTACCAGGTCCTTTGAGTGAAAATGTGAAACAATGGAAGCCTTGTAAACCTTTTCCATGACAGATGTTTCTCTTCACATGGTTATTACAGTTCGCGATTTTTTCACCAATTGATCATGAAGCGTGTACCACAGAGAACCCTGATTACAACGATCTTCATTGTTTTTCATACATCTAGCCATACACATTTCTAAAATCAGCTGTGAATGTGAGATGTTACTTGTTCAGGTAAATTTTTCATTGTCTTCATTTTAACATGGTGAGATATCTATAGCCTTCTGATACATGCTTCTGTAATCAGATATTGATTACATTATTTGTGCATTATTTCAACGGGGAACATCAATAACAAAGTCCTTTTCAATCTGGTGCTTGCTTTCAAAGTTTTGAAACTCCATGGAATATTATCCTGCTGCATACCATGGATTCTATGATGACACTTGTAGTAAGCTACAAGAATTTGGAATGAGAAGGTGCATTTACAATTCCCTTTGACTGCATTTCCTATGAGAACAATTTATTAACTTATTGGACATTGTCTTTTGCTGTCGTTACCGTTCAGGGAATGTTGATTCTTTTCTTGCACAAAGCTTAATATTACACATAGGCACATAGCTACAATCGATTTTTTTCGTAAACTGAAAAGGCGACATATTACAGAACACATGGGCTGCTCGGATAACATGTACAAAAAGCTTAAGCTAATAAGTAGGAGTTTGATGGGAATCTTAAGGTCGATAAATGAAAGTGGGGATTTGATATTAACTTTTTCATTGCAGTACAACTGTTAATACAAGTACTTGCCCTTAGCCATGAGGCTGAGAAAGGCTAAAATAAAACAACCATGGGATACAAGTACAACAGGCTGTTCCATTTAAAAAGCTTGGAACTCAGCTCTGTTATGTCTGTCTGCACTCCTTTCACAAGCAACCAATAACACCTATCCTTACTCAAACGGCTGTACAGAGCAATCCTAAGATACTACTTAAAGCCCTCGATAGAATCGGTTTCACTTAAATAAAACTGAAAAACAAAACAAAACAAAACAATCAAAACCAAAACAAGATCCTACAACCAACTGCAGTAATTGCCTTCATCATGCACACCATTGCAGTAACCAAATACAGCACCAGATAAAAATTTTGCAGGCCTTTTAGTTTTTCCGTTTTGGCATCCTTTCTTCATTGCCACACCATTGGCGACCTTCATGGGGACATTCCCAATCAGAGTATCTAACTGCCTACATGACGCTGCTATAAGTCCTGCATTTGACATGATAATTTTGATGATGTCAGGAGAGATTGCATATGAGATCGAGTTGCCTGTAACAAGAAAGAAATGGTACCTAAGAAAAAAGCAGAGGGTTTTCCGGGTCTTGATTTGAACTCAGGATGAAATTGAGCACCAATGTAGTAGGGATGATTAGGCAGCTCAACAATCTGGCAACATCAATGCCATTATTGACTCAGAATCATTAAATACATAAATAAAAGTAATTCAAGATACTTAGAGGTGAATTATAGTTTAAATGAAAACCTATACCTCCATGCGTTGACCAGTTTCATCCTTTCCAGTGAAAGAGAGACCAGCGTTTTCAAAGGTTGCTATCATATCAGGATTCACCTGCATAAGTTTGAAGTGTATTTCGGGAGATCAAATAGTTAATAAGAAGAAAAATTAGGAACATCTCGATGCGACATACCTCGTATCTATGACGGTGTCTCTCATCAATGAAACTTTTGTTTCCATACCTACCGTTATAAATAGCAAATGATTAGCTAATGTAAGACATCTTCATTCAACATGACACCAATGAAAACCAGTTGATCGGCGCATAATTATGCCACTACTACTCACAATTTTGCAGATTTGCAGTCCTTGACTTGGAAATGTGTCCTTCTTGACCCAAGGCGCATGGTGCCTCCCATATGAGTTTTTGAGCCCTGTTTGAATGTCAAGAGGGTTAAAAATAAGTAGGAGAGCCGGGCAAAGAATTTTCTCTCTTCAGTGTAGAAACAAATGCTATGAAGATCAAACCTCGGGCATAAATATAACACAGGGATTTTTGCAGTTGACATCGAATTCAGTGCTGTTAGCATCTCGCAGGCCAAGAACAGATCGTGCATACTCAATAACAGCAATTTGCATTCCAAGGCAAATGCCAAGGTAAGGAATTTTGTTTTCCCTGGCATACTTCGCTGCAAGAATCTTCCCTTGCACTCCTCTGTCGCCAAAGCCTCCAGGAACAAGAATACCATCTGCACCCTGAAGGTCAAGGCTAGTTAGAGGGCTATTACAGAAAGTTTCCGACACAAAAGAGGATATATAAGAAGAACAGCAGGTTGAACTGCATATTATACTACGAACCTTCAACAGTTTCCATGCAGCCTTGTAAGCATCAGGATTCTGCTAGGAAAACATTGTTGTCAAGATGTCAAACAAGGTAAACGATAAATAAAATGTACAACAGAAGGGACTTGGAATAACTAATAACCTCTTTTGCAGATGAATCTTCAAGGTCGCAAGCTGGAATCCAATAGACAATAAGTTTTTTGCGGAGTTCAACAGAAGCATGTAAAAGAGCCTGCATACAGCTTGATAACTTTAATAGCCAGCAAGAAAGCTGCATCCTTTCTTAAGCCAATATGTAGGTCATTATTCAAAAAATAAAAATTAGCGTATATATACATTATGTTTGTGACATTCCGTGCATACGTAGCATATAGAATTCATGCAACACAAGCTAATACATGTCTGTGAGAGCATGTATGTGTATATAATTGGACGGTTCTTATATCCAAATTCATATAGGAAGTGAAAGTTCAGGACATTCACAGAACTTTTTAAGCACCAATCCATCCCAGTATAGTATGTGCAGAGATTCTGAGAGATCTAGAAATCTTTGTTGAAGACAATTAGATTATGAAACTTCCGGTTGAATAATAAATCAGATTTTAGAAGTTATAACAGGAAAGTGTACCTTCAGTACAGAGAGGTAGGAATCTGAAAAGCCTGTATACTTCCCAACCATGGCAATTCTGACCTGTGAATTACGAAAACAAAAAGATTAAACTCTGCCAGCAAATCTTTAAACAAATTTGAAAAAACCTGCTCAGAGACATACCGGCTCATGCAACGTGTCACATAGTGTGGCCCTTGAAGTCCATTCCTTTAGAGAAGGTTCCTTAGTACTGCATGTCATTAAATATAATAGTGTAAGGATCCCAGATACGGAGAAACTATATGATTCAGTCCAAAAGTGAAAGGATGAGAACTGAGAGCAATAGACAAACCTTGATAGGTTCAGAGCTTTAAGAATTCCTTCATGTGCCTTCTGATCCTGACCAAGAAGGAAAAAGAAAATGAGCGCAAGCCTTAAGAATTAGCAGCTATGAATAAAAGTAAATTTCAAAAGTTGCTGCAGAATTACTTTCAAAAGCAAAGGAACGTGCCAGATGTTGGGAACATCATAAAGAGTGACGATATTTTCCAGCTGGAAATCATATGGTACTAGTTAGGTGGAATCTTGCAAGGAAGATAACCAAGTTGAAGTAAACTGCAGACAAATATTTAACCCTTTTAACTAACATACCGCAACATGGCAAAATTGAGAGAGTTTTTCCTTTACATTCTCCTCAAGTGCCTGAAACATACACCCAAAGTTCAGAACCTGAAGCCAAAACATTAAGTTGTGCACATATGCATGTATGTAAGACAAATTAAGGAAATTAATATACCATTGTGCTGCGACAAGCTAAGATATTTGGTGTCAAACCCTGGCCTCTAAGTTCCCGAACACTGTGCTGGGTTGGTTTCGTTTTCTGAAAGTGGTAAACATGAACCATTTCATTCATTAGACTGATGGAGAACTGTCATCTTCCCACAAAAATGTGCAGACAATATACTTCTTTTATCTTACTTGTTCACCAACAACGTTTAGAACAGGCACAAGGCTGACATGGATCAAGCAAAAGTTGCCAGGACCTGAAAGGAGCATTGTTGAATAGAAGTCAACTAATTGTAAAAACATGAAAGCTTGAGGAGTAACTTGTGTCATATAAGAGTTGCAGAAGAAATATTCTTACCTACACGGTAAGAAAACTGCCCTAAAGCCTCAATAAACGGCATGGACTCAATGTCTCCTGCAAGCAGGAAAGTTTTTTTTTTAACACCAATAGAAAAGAAAAAAAAATAGATGGGGAAATAGTTCATGCTACTAGGCACTGAAAACCGTTTGCTGTCAGCATACCTATAGTTCCTCCAAGTTCTATGACACAAACATCAGCTGGATCTTCCTTTCCATCCACTGGTATCCTTGCCACTCGCTCAATCCACTCTTGAATGGCATCTGTAATGTGAGGGACAACCTACAGATTGCAAGATCAAACGAAGGACATAAGTCATACACGAAACCTACCGTATGCAGTACCAAATAATGAAATATAAACAGCGTCAGAACTAACCTGAACGGTTTTTCCCAAATAGTCTCCCTTTCTTTCCTTATTGATAACTTGCTGTAGTACAACAAAAAATGTAAAAATAGTAAATTAGCAACCCGAGTATTAACTTGTTCCGAATGAGTTTTGGCATCTCTAGTAGTTGGTATATAAAATAACCAAGTAAATGTGTAATTCAACCCACTTACCTGGTAAATCTTTCCGGTAGTTATATTATTATCTCTAGTCAACTTAATATCGAGAAACCGCTCATAGTTACCAAGGTCGAGGTCCACCTATAAAACCCAGAAATAAAAAAATAAAAAAAAAGGTCATGCTCAGTTCAGTAACAACCTGTTTTAATCAAATCTTCTTACCTTTTTCTAATTTTTAACCCTTTTGTCTCCCCTTGTTTTTTCTTTTGGCTATAATGAAATTCAAAGTTTTCCTTTATAAAAGAAATAATATTGTAAAAGCTTAGCAGCCCTCTTCTCACATAGTTCCAGTTGCTAATTCAGAACAACATGAGACTGATTCAAAACAACTTTTTTGCAGCAACAGATTTAAGGACTTTGATCAACACAGAGACCTATTCAAAGCATCGAGAAGGAGATATCCCCTCAAATACAAAATTGACGTAAGGAAAAACACATCAAAAGGAGTAAATTCCGGTACCTCGCCACCATCATCCAAGACAAATACTTCACCATGCTCAAAAGGGGACATAGTTCCAGCATCAGTATTTATGTAAGGATCTACATCAACAAACAATGGTGGCCAAAATCAATAAACTAAGGTTTAACAAAAAGAAATTTCAATGTCATGATTTATACAAAAATATGCCAACATTGAAGAAAGAAATCGAGTAAAGTAAAAACGCTCCTTGAAGATTCAGCAAAGAAATCATACAAGCAACAACAAAATCAAAACAAAATTAGCAAAAAGCACATTCATCTAAACTAAGCAAGCAAAAACTCTTCTCAGTAGCATCTTCAACAACAAGACTCCACCTTTCTCAATTAAAGAAGCAAAGAATCCAAACCCAGAAAAGAAAATCGAAATGG